CTCTAGCATCGGCAGTTCCTACTATATCACACATATTTGGAGTTGTGCCCTTATTGATATTATTATACTTTATTCACATATAATCGATCAACCACACGAACTCCATTTCACAGTAAAAGTGACTAAAGAGCAAGGTGGTTACCTTTATACCAAAATATTATTTGTCATGTTGTCATGTAACTATTTTAAGGGCACATGCCTGTCTGGCCTGGAAATAATGCAACACAATAGTTTGTGTATAAATCTGATAATGTTTAATTTCACCACTCACAAGGTGAAATATGAAAAAAACATGAGATAGTAGGAAATGCCGATGCTGAAACTGCCATTCTTCAGAAAAGGGTCCAGACCCGAAATGTCAGCTTTCCTGCTCCTCTGATGCTGCTTGGCCCGCTGTGCTCATCCAGCTCTACACCTTGTTATCTCAGATTCTCCAACATCGGCAGTTCCCACTATCTCTAATAGAATATTAGCCTTTTACTGAAGGGGGCTCTAAATACAAAGAGGAGGTAATAATTCAGTTATATAGATCTTCGAACCCTGTCTAGGATACCGCACTTAGTTTTGGGCATTGCTCAGTAAGGAAGTATTGACCTTGAAAGTAATGTGGCACAGATTCATGAAAATGATATCTTGGCAGACAGTGCTAAATTATTAGGAGACATTGCATATACTCGTCTTCACAGAGCAGAAAATTGAGGTGTGATCTGTTTGAGGTGATTAAAACATTGAATTTGATGGGGTAGATTGAAAAAATTATTCTGTCAGCCGGGAAAGTGAAAATATCATCTAAATGTTTGGCCCAAATTTCAAGGGATGATACGAAGTATTTTTTCACAAGATATTTGGATTTGTCACCAAAAGGCAATGGATGTTGAGACAGTTGGAGCTTACAAAGTTGAAATTGATACATATTTTAATTAATTGTTAGATAATGAACTACAAGGGTTATGGAGTGAGTGGTCGGCAGATAAAGTTAAACTATCTGAAGAAGGGTCACTGGACTTGAAATGTTAATTCTGCTGTCTCTCTGCAGACTTGTTGAGTTTCTCCAGCAATTTCTGTGATTGTTTCAGATCTTCAACATTTGCAGTTCTTTGTTTTAGTAGAGATAAATTATAGGTCAGTTGCGATCTAAATGAATGCTGGGGTGATTTCAATGGTGTATTTTTGCCCTCAAAATAAAGGTTAAATTGAGGATACTTTTCTCAAACACATCTGCAGTATTTTCTTTGGCCTACAATGAATGCCCTAATACAACATTTCTTCCTGCAAGTAAGACTCAATTTTAGTTGACTTCTTGGTAGAACCGACCTCAACATTCACACCAGGAACTTTCCTGTATATTTTTCCCCCTCCCTAACCAAATTTGAAGAGGTTTCTATCTGAAAACCACTCTATTGTCCTTCCAAGCCGCCCCAGCCTATTGGTTATTGATATTTGATTGACGTAGGATGTGGGCGGGATGTCTATTTCTATTGGTTGCGATGACATTTAGCGTTCCGTGTGTCCCCGCCCAGTCCGGCTCTGGATTGGTTGGGGTCGGCCATTAGTTGCCCTTTGTTGGCCCAGAGCGGGTTTTCGGTCTGGAGCCGGCACAGGGAGGAAAGCGGCCTTCGTGGATCATAATCATCGTCAGGAAGCAGCAGCAACGGTCCCTGAGCGGCCTGGAGCAGACATGAGCGGCGGGGTGTACGGTGGAGGTGAGTGAGCAACAGCGGGGCCCTGTGTACGGTGATGTAGCCCCGGCCTGAGGGGTAGTGGCGCATGTGGGAGCGGGAAGGGCAGCGTGAGGTTAGAGACAGTTAGGCTCAAAGACATAGATTTCCAGGCGTTTCATCTCTGACTGCAGCATCTGCACTCCTTGCTAGCTCATCTCATGGACTGTCTCCCCTTTAGTCACCGCTTCATTCGTCTCTCACTCACATTGCTTTGTCTTAAAAACTTCTCATTACCTCCATGTAAACGGGCCCAGAAGCAAAACTTTTGATTTTAGGTTGCAGACGGGAAACTCTGCCTGACCCTAGTATTTCTAGCCTTTTCTGTATTTCTGAGCTGAAGGTTTAGGATTAAGGTTGGAAGATATGACGAACACGAAAGGAATGGCAGATGTTTAAAGTTGGAAATGTCTTGACAAATTAAAATTGAGTTCTTGTTGTGCGTGTCGTATCTTGGATTTAAATTGCGATTAGAAAATTACATTTTATAGGGTATGTAAACATAACAAGTTACACAATCATTGATTCTAACTAGGTCGTGCATAGTGTAGTTGTGCCAGCTTAGAAAGATCTGATTGAGATTTTGTCTCCCCTGAAAATAGCAGTGGGTCTTTGAGACCCTTGGGCTTGCTGTGACATTCTAGATTGTGCTGATCATCTTATCTCAATGCCATGTTGCTGTGGCTATCCCTATATTATTTGATAGCATTAGCAACTAGAAATCTATAAGTCTTTCTCTTGAATTTAATCAATGACTAGGCTTCCACAGCCCTTTAGGAGAGAGATTTCCAAAGATTTGCTACCAGCTGAACAAAGATATTTCTCCTTGTCTCAGTCTTAAATGGCTTGCCTTTTGTGCGACAGTGTCTCCCGGTTCTAGACCCCACAGCCAGGGCGAACCTCTACTCTGTTCTTGTCGTTACGAATTTTATAAGTTTCAAGAAATTGCATCTTATTCCTCTAAACTCTAGCGAACACAGGCTCAAACTATAGAGCAATCCATCATCACAGGAATTGTTTGATTTAAAGCTAGTGCTCAATGCATTCCATTCATGGAATCATAGAATCCCTACAGTGTGGAAGCAGGCTCTTTGGCCCATCGAGTTCACCCTGACGTCTGAAGAGCACCCCTACCCCCTATCCCTGTAATCCTGCATTTACCATGGCTAATCCAGTTAGCCTGCACATCCCTGGACACTATGGATGATGTGGCATGGCCAATCCACCTAATATTCACATGCTTGGACTGTAGGAGGAAACCAGAGTACCTGAAGGAAACCCTTGCAGACACTGTGAGAATATGCAGGCTCCACACAGATAGTTGTCTAAGGCTGGAATTGAAGCTGGGTCCCTGGCACTGTGAGGCAGCAGTGCTAACCACTGAGCTGCCCCATTATCACTGTCGATGAATTTCTTTCTTTTGATTGAAAAGTTCTTTTTTACTGTATTAATGCATTTTAATTGATTTCTCGGTCATAATATTTCTTGCCATAAAAATGAGCAAGTAATGTTCCATTCAGTTTGTTTCTAATGCTGCTTTTTAAATAAGTGGAGAGCATGAAAGACCATTCCAAGAATTGTTATTTCTTCCAAGAATTGTTTTTCAGCTGCAGCTCATTCTTCAGAGAATCACAGATGCCAATTCGTGTTTTTCAATTCTGTGTCACAGCATTCGAGTCAGAAGAGAAACAAAAAGCATCATAAGCATGTTTGAATTTGGCTGCTTTTAACTAATAAGGCGGATTCAAGAAGATAGTGCAGTTGATGTGGCCTACAAGGATTTTAGCAAGCCTTTTGGCAACATCTCAGATAGCAGGCTGAGTAAACAAAATAAATGCCAGTGGCATCCAGTGGAATGTAACCAACTGGATGCAAAATTTGCTCACTGGCAGGAAATGAGGGGTAATTGTTGACATGTAATTGTGCAACTGGAAGACTATTATAGGCATTCTCCAGGGCTCAGTATGATGCCCCTGATTTTTGAGGTATGTGTATTTAAATGATTTGGATGTAAATGTAGGAGACATGATCAAAAATTTGTGACAAGACAACAATTGTGGTTGATCACAAGGAGGATATCTAGACTGCAGAAAGACGTCACTGGACCCCATTGCCTTTTAACCCAGTTGGGCAGAAAAGGAGCAAATAGAATTCAACCTAGAGAAGTGAGATGATACATTTTTAGGAGGTCAAGCAAGGTAAAGGAATAGCCATTGGGCGAATGTTGAGAAGTGTAGGGGAAGTGAAGGACTTTAGAGTATATGTTCACGTAAGTCTGAAAGATGCAGGACAGGTTGATCAAGTGGTATACAAGCCACGTGAAATCCTTGTCTGTATTAGCCAAAGTTAAGAATATAAGAGCCAGGGAGGTTATGATGGAACTGTACAAAAAATTGGTTAGGGCACAACTTAAGTAATCTGAGATAACAAGGTGTAG